CAGAAGTGGTGCCAGTGGTGCTACCAAAAAACATTACTTCTGTTTTTCCTTCATTCAGTTTTAGGAAGTTGCACGCCATCCAGGCCTTTGTGTCCTATAGACTCTAGAGTCTAGACACTTTAGCAGTGGGCTAATTGAGTAACCCTCCTTCTTTGTTAGTGGGACATAAATCTGGCTATCATCAGCATAGCAGTGGAATGCGATGCTTCAGATATGACCTGAACCATTCCAGGGCTTTCCCCTCAATGCCCACCCACTTCCCCAAGCGAGAGATCAGGATGTCATGGTCGACTGTATCATTAATATTGTGTCAAATTGGTTTGGCACACAGAAGTGGTTCTCCACAGAAGTTGTTCACCTTATGATACCGCAGATTTTATGAATTTGTGTCCCAAAAATAATTAAATAACCACTTTGTGTTCTTAACACAATGAAAGACTTTGGTTAAGCGAGCCACATTTTTCAGTTAACAAGCCCATATGAGAAGATTTCATTTGAGTTCAAAGTGTTCAAAATGTATGAGGATCTTAGGCCCTGAGGAATCAGATGAATAGTTTAATAAAGAGATTTATGCCTCACCCCTCCAGGGTTGCCGTCGGAGGCTGTGACAATCAGACGGTACTGATCTGTGGTCTCTCTGTCCAGAGGGTCTCTCAGAAGCAGAAGGCCAATCCTATAGAGAAGGGTCAGAGAAGAAACACATATCACTATTACACACATCAGACAAACAAACACCATACAGGACATTGTGTATTTAAGTCCTCACATATCTTGTTTGAGTCATATGAAGAAAGAGCATTCATTTAAAGGGATTTCTTTCCCTAGCAATGTTTAAATACTTGATCGCTGATGCAACAGAGTGTGAGGGAGAGGGCTACATTTCAGACTTTATTTACTTCCAGATAAGATGGATGTGGATTGCTGATAGAGGAGGGTGATTTTTAGGCAAAGAGCAGGTGGGCTTTTAAATGCTCCCACTCTGTCTTTCTCTCTCTGTAGCCTGCCTCTTGCTCCCTAAGCACATGGACTACAGACAGAAAGATTCATGTTTTCTTTTTTAAATGACTGCAGCAGACACAGCGGCCCTCCTGCTCGTTCAAAAGGTATAATTTGGCATTCCACAGTGTGGATGCATTCCAAAGCAGGACGCTGAATTATCTTTGTTTTCACACACAGGCACACAAGACACACGTGAGCGCAAGTGCATGCTCAAAACACAGCGTGCACAAAATAATTCCACTACCACACTCAAGAGAGGCTCTGCCAAAACCGCAAATGGAAGGGAAGACGAATGCATCTAAACGCACTGCTAGATTAATGCCTGCTGCAATTCCCTGCTGTCCCCTTGCTCCTTCAAATTTCTAATTTAAAGCTCCTTTGGGCCAAACAGTCCAGGCAGAACCACAATGCTGCTTCTTCCCTGGCTCTGCGGTCCATAACCATCCAACAATAGAGCCTCATCTTTAAAATCTGACAAGCACCATTACAGAAGCCTCCATTTACATTGTCTATTTTTCAATACACTTGCCCCCTAGTTTCGGTGGACACGTTGCTTTCAATCGAATACACCTGATGGGCGGTTCAAAAGGGCAAACACAGCTTTCTAACAACACTTTAAAATGCAGCACAGCATCCTTCACTGGCCGCTGTGCTCATGTTTATTTATACATAAGCACAAGAGTAAAAAATAGGCCACTCTGTGCTCAATGAAGCTTAAAGTAAAGGAAAGTGATGTGAATAAGATAATGAAGATATACAGTGATAATTGTCATAATTATGGTGATAATGATGATGATCTTGATGCTCATGATGACAGAGATAAGATTGATTAATGCCACCAAGGCAGCCTGGGGAGTTTGTTCCTCACTGCAGCTGGAGTGCAGAGCCACACTTGAGCAGCTGGGTCTGAGAGGTTCACTGATCAAGGGAGATAGCGTCCTGCCTCTTCTCCCCAGCCAGCACAAATGAAAAGATGTTGTCAGACTGACAGGGTGCTGTTAACACCATTGTACAGAGCGACAATGGTGCAGGTTAGAGGCTATGCATCTGGGTCACACTTAGTCAGTCTTTCATTCTGCTCAGATCGTATCTCTGAATGGTAGATTGGGCTTGATGTACAGGACTGCAAGGTGGCATCAATGTTTTCACCTCTGATACAACAACTTTGATATGCTAACAATCACTTAAAATAAGATTGGGACATTAGAGACAATTATACTCTTATTACACTCCAATTATATCATTTTCAAAAATCTTGTTTTGTGTCAATGTAATGAGAACTGAGTGCAGTGTTGTTTCACAGGTCTTTCACATGAGCCCTTTTTGATTTCAGTTTCAATTTCACATCAGCCAGACTGCAGCCTGCCAACAGGATACTTAAACACTGAAAAGGCTTAAGTATCAAAGTTGGCTTGGCCTCCTGGTGACGTTTCTGTGACTTTGAGATGCTCCAAAACAGTGTTGGCTAAGAAAGGCTTTGATCAACAATAAAGAAATAGATCTTTTGATTAAAGCCAACTAATGCTGGAACTTTGAGGCTGTAACTCAAATTCATATGGGAACAAAGTAAGTTATCACCATGTAGTAATATAAACACAAATCCTAATCAAACAATATTGATAAAGATTCCTTACAGGTGGGGTAGGTAAGTTTGAGAAACCGGCTCGAGATACACTTTTTGTTATATTCCATGGAATGCTCTTAACATCCCGATAGCAATGAATATCTTAAATGCTTTGACAAAAAATCCATAAAAAAATGTCATCTGTGGAAGCCGTAGTGCTGTAAAAAGCACGACCAATCATCTGAGCCGGCCCGGCTAAAATAACTGGATGGCCTACCTTTCAGTGTAGAAGTCATTGAAAATGTGACGCCTGCGACTATCATTACCCGCCGATTGTTTTATTCCGACTAAGTTTTTCAATGACCTTTCACAAAAGCGGACTACTGGTGTGGATTTTGCTGTAGGTTCGGTCTTGTTCCGTTTCAACCAGTTCAGTAATTTTTACAAGAGTTTACAATACACAAAGGTATTTGTGCCGCTGTAAAATAATAATATCCGACTTTTATGCCTAATAGAGTTAAACAATTTCCACCCCCATCCATTAAAACCTCTTTCGGTCAGCCTCACGCGAGTATTAAAACTTTTATGTGTCGGCTTTTTAGACGGTGAAGGAATGTCTCGGAGGGAGGTTGTGTGTTGCTTACGCGTGTACTGTACTCCCGTGTTATCTCAAAACACGTGTCTACCTTC